GGGAAAGAGATTCTCAATCTAAATGTATCGGTAAAAGAAACATCTCTTATATCTTATTAATCAATTAAAAAAAAAAAAGAGTCCTGATACGGTTTAATTTCTAAAACATCCTACAAATGATGCCCTTCAGCTAGCAACCTGCGCTAATAAAGCTTAATCAACGGTTAAGTTTGAGCACTTCTCTCTTGACTGAAACTAAACTCTGAAAACATAAATCAGCATATGTTGTCCCTGGAATCACCGGTCCAGGGACGGGAACTCGCCTAAACTTTTGGGTATTAAGGTTGTAAGATACAATTCGTCCATCTCTAGTTTCCATTAAGAGCTCGTCACTCTTCCAAAATGTCAATGGGAAATAAATGCATACTAGTGGTTCAATTGTGAGATGCTTGGTCCAAAAAGTGAAACCTTCTATTGCGAATAATAGGAAGAATTGGGAAAAATGAATAATGCTGTTATTGATTAATGTGAACAGTGGAAAACCACTTATATACACGGTTACAAGAGACAAATAATGTAACTACTTTATACCGTCAGCAAAGCTTGCAATATAAGCTAAAATACTGAATATGAAAAATGATCAGCTAATGTAATACGCCCCCTCAAGATGGACTAAAAATGTCCTTTATAGCCATCTTGGACAACAGAGGAAAAAGTAAAGACAATGGCAGCGGTTTAGTAAAAATGTCAGTAAGTTGATGCTGGGAACGAACATGCAAAAGCTTGATAACACCTGCAGTGAGTTTGTCACGAACAAAATGGCAATCAATTTCGATGTGCTTGGTGCGCTCGTGAAAAACTGGATTAGAAGCAATATGAATTGCTGCTTGATTATCACAAAAAATAACCGCTGGATCAAGAGCAGGAAAAGAGAGGTCCGCCAATAGCTGCTTTAACCATATAAGTTCACTAACTGTGGCAGCTAATGCCCGATACTCAGCTTCAGCAGATGACCGGGAAACAGTAGTTTGTTTCTTGGACTTCCAGGAAATTAATGAGTCACCTAGGAACACACAAAAACCAGTGATGGATTTCCGGGAATCCAAGCAGGCAGCCCAATCAGAATCGGAAAAAGCCTTCAAGTGAAGGGAAGAAGTAGAGGAGAAGAATAATCCTTGACCAGGCTTAGATTAAAGGTACCGCAGCAAGTGATGAGTAGCTTGAAGGTGAGGAACTCGAGAACAAGCCAAGAACTGACTAAGCTTGTGAACAGCAAAAGTAATATCAGGCCTGGAAAGAGAGAGATAAAGCAATCTACCAATAAGCCTTCGATAGGAAGAAGCATCCTCAAGAGGGTCTCCAGTGCTAGAAGTAAGCTGCAACTTAGGATCCATGGGAACACTGGCCGGCTTAGCTGCAAGAAATCCAGTATCATCAAGTAACTGGAGAGTATATTGCCGCTGAGACAAAACAATGCCCTTGGATGATCGAGCAATTTCAAGACCAAGGAAAAACTTTAAATCACCCAGGTCCTTGAGCTTGAATTTACCGTGTAAAAACAGCTTCAAAGAATCAATGATTTTAAGGTTAGAACCTGTAATGATAATGTTGTCAACGTACACTAGTAAGGTGACAAAGGATGAACCACAGCCTTTGGTGAAAAGTGAGTAATCAGACTTAGATTGATGAAAGCCGAATTGAAGCAAGGCATGAGAAAACTTGGAATACCATTGCCTTGAAGCTGGCTTAAGGCCATATATAGACTTATGAAGCTTGCAAACCAATTTGGACCCTTGTCCAGAAAACTTCCCTTTGCTGTTATAACCCAACGGAAGATCCATATAAACCTCTTCAAAGAGATCGCCATTGAGGAAAGCGTTATTCACATCCAACTGAGTCAAATGCCAATGTTGAGAAGCAGCCAAGGCCAGTAACAACTTGACAGTCACCAACTTGGCAACGGGAGAAAAGGTATCCAAGAAGTCTACTCCTTCTTGTTGAGTGTAGCCCTTGGCTACAAGACGAGCTTTATGTCGCTCTATGGATCCATCCGAATTATATTTGATGCGATAAACCCACTTGCAGCCAATAGAGGACTTGTCTTTAGGCAAAGAAACAACAGACCAAGTATGATTTTGTTCCATAGCTTCTAACTCAACCTGCATGGCAGCCCGCCACTCAGGATATGTCACTACCCGGTGATAAAACTGAGGCTCAACTTGAGTGGCAACTGTGAGGACAAATTATTTATAGGAGGGAGAAAGGGCATCATAGCCAACATGATTGGAAAGAGGATATAGAGGACTAGATAAATCAGAAACCTTGGAGTCGGTATGAGTCAAAAGGTTACAGTGAAAATCCTGAAGATAGGAGGGTGGTTTGATTTGCCTAGAAGATTTCCGAGAAGGCAAGGCAGTGGAAATAGGATCTGTGGTGGATGTTGGAACAGAGGAATAAGAAGGAGAACTCGGCTGATTTGTGGAGAAATTGTCAGGAGGTGGTGTAGGTAACACAAGGTCAGGGAAAGGGTTAATCAAATTCTCTTCTGTAGTGACAGAATGAAATGGAAAGACATGTTCGTGAAAGACAACGTCTCTGGAAATGAAAATCTGTTTAGTTTGGATATCATAGAGTTTATAACCCTTAATGCCAACAGGATACCCTAGAAAAACACAAGTACGAGCTCTTGCATGAAACTTATCTCGATTAACAGGAAGAGTAGATGCAAAAGCTAGACAGCCAAAGACTCGAAACAAAGTATAATCAATAGAGGAATGATAAAGAACCTCGTGAGGAGTCTTGTGATGAAGCAAGGATGAAGGAGTCTTGTTGATCAAGAAGGCAGCAGTCAAGACACACTCAGTCCAAAACTGAAGTGGAACCCGAGACTGAAAAAATAGTGCACGAGCAACATTCAACAAATGTTGATGTTTCCTCTCTACTACAGAATTTTGCTGGGGCCTGTCAACACAAGAAAACTGATGTAGCACACCTTTAGCATCAAAGAAATCAATAAAAGCAAGTTCTTTGGCATTGTCAGATCGACATTCTTTAATGGCAGAAGCAAACTGAGTTGCTATCATATTGAAAAATTTTGGAAGAACAGAGGTTACATCAGATTTCTGTTTAAGCAAGTATACCCAAGTAAACCTTGTGCAATCATCTACTAAGGTTAAAAAATACCTATGACCACTATAAGAGGCCTCATGAAAAGGACCCCATATATCAAAGTGCATTAAATCAAAAGGGGACTGCCGTATGTGATTAGAAGAAACAAAAGGCAGTCTCTTTTGTTTTGCCAAAGGGCAAATATAACATGGTTCTGGAAAATCAACCTTGGAAACTTCATATTGCAGCTTGTCTTTCATAACTTCAAGCCGTGAAACAGAAGGATGGCCAAGCCTTTTGTGCCAAAGCTGAACCGAGACTTTATTTGCATAAGCATAAAATTCCTGAGGAAATTCTTTATTTAGAGAATCAGAATTAAGAATGTAGAGGTCTCCTTTCTTGTTACCCCTGCCAATCATCTTCATGGTGTGGACCTCCTGAATGAGGAATTGGTCAGGAAGGAATTGAATCATGAGTTGTGCATCAGTTGTAAGAACACTGACCGAAATCAGGTTAAACTTAAACTGAGGAACATAAAGAACATTCTTCAAAAGAAGAGACGGATTTAGCCTGATATCACCATAAAACTGAACAGGAATTGCAATGTTATCTGGAAGTGTAACCTTAGCATTGCTCAGAGGCTGCAAAAACAGAAAAATGCTAGCAACAGAACAAATATGTCTAGAGGCTCCAAAATCAATAATCCATGTATTGGCTGAAGACAATGCATTATTCACAGAAACTGAAAAGCAAATACCTGTGGAATAAGAAGTGGAGATATCCTAAGAATCATTTCCTTTGATGGAAGAGGACAAATGTGTAGAGAACATTGTCATTAGTTGTTGATATTGCATTGGACTAAGATTTTGAAAGGAATCCCCTGTATTGGCATTCTCGGCATCTGTGGACTTGGTGGAAACTTGATTAACAGCAGCAACTTGACAGTTATTGGAATAGTTCTTTTGTTTTGGTTTGAATCCAGGTGGATACCCATGTAGCTTATAACATTTGTCAATGGTATGTCCATGAAAGTTGCAATGAGTACAAAAGGGCCTATCCCTTTTTTGAAACCTATTTCCCCCACTGGTTTCACCTCCACCATTAGGTTTCTTAACTGAATCATTTCTAACAGCAAAGAAGATGATGAATTGAAGAACAATCAGATTGAGCAGCAAGAAATTTGCTCTGATACCATATTGCGAATAACAGGAAGAATTGGGAAAAATGAATAATGTTGTTATTGATTAATGTGAACAGTGGAAAACCACTTATATACACGGTTACAAGAGACAAATAATGTAACTACTTTATACACGTCAGCAAAGCTTGCAATGTAAGCTAAAATACTGAAATATGAAAAATGATCAGCTAATGTAATACCTTCAACACCGCCGAAGTTGTGCACCATCACCCACATTTCAAAAGTCGTCGAATGCCACGAGTTTTCGAGGGCGAAAAAGAAGGCAACTGACCCGTTCCACAATGTGAGTTCCCTAATTTTGGTTTCTTCATGGACGTGATTCGGTAATAATATAGTGCGAAATTCCTCTTCCATCATGTCAAACGAAAGAACCACAAAATCGCAACCTTCGGCCCCCACATTCCACCAGTAATAAACACCCTTGCAGTACATCCCATGAGGTTGAGTA